GTTTGGTTTGATCCTAAAAAATTAGGTTATATACAAAACATTATGATGGATGAATTCACCTCCTTTTGTGAGCATTGCAAACCATTGGGTCATTTTAAAAAGGAATTTGTTAGCCTTCATCCTCATTTAGCTAAGGAATCTCCTATTAATGTTAAATCAGTGAATGCTGCTGGTAAAGAAACCTATCGGTTAGCTCCATTTAATTCAAGAGGTTTTACTATTTCTTCCACTTTAGTTCCCGCTGTTATTGATCTTGAAGTGTCTTTGGTTGATATAGGGGAAGACATTGTGGTTGATGCTAGGGATAATAACAATGTTCAGGAAAATATTTTTATTCCTTTTGGCTGGTTTTAATTACTCTAATTTCTCTAACATGGAATCGATTATTGATATTAATTATTTCTTATGAGGCTTTGGTCTCATGAGGATTCAAGAATTCTCTTGTGAATGTATTAATGATGTCACTTATGTTGATAATACTAATTGGTTGCATGACTCATCACGTGTTGTGAGGAATGTTGGGGAAGTGAGCATTGGTAATTGTCATGCTTTACTGGAGGATGCTATTTTGATGTTATTCATGTTGATAATGAAGGGTTAATTTCAATGGCTGGAAATAAAAAATAAAAAATCTAAAGGTAAAAAGGTTGAGCAAAACTTTAAATATATTGCTACTAACTCTACTCGTTCTAATACTTCTTTACTCTTCTCTTTCTTGTTTCTTCTGGGGTGTGGTCTTCCTATATATTATTTTGGGCTCCTTATTCTTTGGTCAATGGTTTAGTTCTTGGGCTTGCTCAGTGTGGTGGTTGTTCTTAGGTGTTGTGTTGGGTGTCGTGTGGCTATTCTATTTCTTATTTTGGGGGTTTGATTCAGTGTTGTGTTGGCTGTGCTATTAGTGGTCGTTCTTGGGTGTGGCATGGGTAGTGTCTCCTTGTTTTATTCCTTGTTGAGTGGTTTTGGTTGTTGGTGGGGTGAGTTTTCTTGTTTTGTAGATCTACTGGTTGGTGGTTTCTGCTACTTCTTCTTATTATGGTGTTTGGTTTGGCTCCATGTCAGGTATTATTTGTGGTTTTTGCTTATGTTTTGTGGTCGTCTCTTTTTGTTTTGCAGGATTCTTTCCTTTGTTGGTCATCTCTTGGCTCTGTCTTTGGTTGGTTATTGGTTTGTTCTCCCATAGGGCTTTTAGGATGATCTTCTTTTCCTTTTTTCTCTCTCTTTATTGGTTGTAAGTAGATTAGATCATTGGCTATCAGGTTTTCTTTTGATTTTTTGATTTATTTATTTTTTTATTTTAGAGAGCATATGATCTTTTAAGGATTTGTAATCTTTTTTTAATTAATGCGTAGGCCTCTATAACTACGGTATTTTTAAGACACTTTTAAATAAGCGCCTTAAAAACTTTCATGTCAAAAAATTCCCTACATAAGTTTTATTTGGCCTTAACATAGTCTTGCAGATAGTTTTTTTTTTTTAATTGGAGCAACATTATTTTCTTATGTATGATATGTATTCATTATGGCTCGTGTTTTTATCTTTTTTAACTCTCACATTCACATTCCTGTAACTTGCCACTCCATCTCTTACATTGTTGATCGACCATTTGGTCGGCAGCTAGTGGTTAGCTAGTGGTAGGTGGTGTATGATGGTAATGGTGGTTGGTGGTCAATAATGATGATCATGAATGGTTGTTGGTGACAACAATGGTGACTGGTGGTCGATATAAAACTGTGGTGGCAGATGATGGTCATGGTCAGGGGTCAGCTGGTGGCTATTGTTGGTGATCACCATAGATTGTGGGTGGAGATAAGATGATGAATTTTTGGTGTATTTTAAACTAGCCCAAATCCGAGTAGTTCTAAATACACAATTATGAACTAGAGAGTGAATTTCAAATATATCAAAATTTTAAACTTCAAACCAAAAAATAATATTCTTAAAACCTCTGCATTTGGAATACATTACACCTTTTTAACTTTAAACCAAATGGTCCCAACTGAGCATGTAAGCGAACCTAGCATTTGAACTTGTGTCAAATACTACTTGTTCTACTCAAAGATCAATCTAAACTAAGAGACTAGAACTATTCATTTCAACTTCTTAATTAAAATCAATCTTATTGGAACAATAAATTCATTATAAGAAAAGAAAAAATTAAACATAAGTGGTACTCACATAACAAAAACTAGTAGCCAAGACAAGGACCCTCTCTCAAGCCATCCCAATCTTTCTTATAATACATCAAGAATTAAAATTATAAGTTCATAGGCCACATTAACAAACACATTTATTGACTTATATTCCACAAATACATTTCATAACAAATTAACCATTGTAGTTGATGGAAATACAATTGTGATTAATTTGATTTTAAGTTGAATAGCTAGGTGTGCTAAAAAAAATACTACAATCAAAAGTATGCATCAATCATTTAATGCTTATGCTCTCCAACAAATTAAGGCTATATAAGCGTCCTAATATCATTTTTCAATATTCTACTTAAGCAAATACCCGTTTACACCTGGAATGTGAATGTTAATCAAATAATCATCCCATTCAATGTTCACGGGATCAAAATCAAACAACTTCATATCATCATTATTCACCATTGCCTTTATCAAACATTCTAAGTTAGAATCATCAAAGCTGCAGTC